TTTCAATTTGGCTACAAAGACCCGGACTTCGAATGATAAATAAATCAAACAAAAGGAGTATAAATTCTATTCAAAACTTTGAATTAATACAACTTTCTTTCATGTATCAATTGACAAAATTAAAGGAAGATCTATATAAATCACAAGTCATCCTCAAAAGATGGTAGAAGACCTGTAACATTTCACATGACCATCTACAAACAATCAACAATGGTTGTGATTGATTGTAGAGAATGTGGTGATATGCCGAACTCTTACAAGCATAATTCACTCACAAGACAATCAAGATAAATTTTCCAAGTGACAAAAATTATAAGGCATATGCAATCAATTGCAAGATATCATCAAAGGTGCAAGTTCATCATGCAAACTACAATCTATTCCTAAGGAAGCTGAAATATTTGTAATGCTAAGATGATCCATACACAAATATGAAAGAGTAGTGATAAATGCATATGTCTATATGTCACTACACAGGCTCGCTATACAAGATGTAGTTTGAGAATAAGCATGAAAGAACTACAGTGTACAATCAAGTATCTACAAGCTACTGTAAAAGACTCATTGTGTAACAAATATAGTGTTCACAAGCAAAATGTGAAAGATCTGCAATGCATACAATCCTTCTACTGACATAGATGTATGTATAACGTGCCACCCCTATGTAGATGCATAAAGACTACAGTAAATGCAATATCCTGTAGTCAACTTCAGTCTAAAGATGAATACATCTACTTCCAACAGTAGTGGTTGTATTGTAAAGACCAAAATCATAGCAGAATGTATAAATAATACAAGTTCCTACGAGCTTCTACAATCTAAGGCAGGAGATTAGTTAGTGCACTATGATCCGCCTACAAAATCAACAAATAGTGCACGACTGTCTACCTGTACAAAGCAGCAAACAACTGATCCAGAAGCTGCTACGCCACGCCATCGGATCTGCAACATTCGTACAAGCAGACAGAAGGCGTCTACAATTATTTCAAAGTACCCCTGCACGTGCACTATAAATTGTATACACATAGGTACACTAAAAGGGGTAAAAACAATTATAAAACCCGCATGGGCCTCGGCGAGCGTGTTATTGGTACACACGTGACGTCTAGGGATGCTGCGCGGGTTGACAAGTGAATTCAAATTCGAATCTGATCCTTCTATACGGGTCAATAGAAGTCGACAGGGTTCGAACCAACAAACAATATACGGTGTAGCGACCGTCAATATTTATCTTAATACGTTCATGTTAGGCCTTCAATGCCTACAATCAAGAGAATTCACTAATCAAAGCACAACCTACGAGAAAACCTGATCCTCTATCGACCAGTAGATAGAGTCGATAAGGTTCAATCCAGAAAATGGGAAATGCTCCCCAAACACCCGATGATGGCCGCGTTGATTGAAGATCTCAACCGGGGGGTCCATTCCAAACACTTTCAAATTCCACCCAAATACCCAAAACTCCACAAAATCCAAAAAAAATCTCAAAATCCCCAAAATTCCAAAAATATTTAAAAATGAAACTATCCATCCCAACACTTAAAGCAAAGCCCATCCACCCTCCGCAACAGTCTGTCGGGGTGGACAAATTCAAATAAACTCTAGCTCACAAAGAGCCAAAATGCCTAGTCGAAAATATCACTATGATCCATGTCTCAAACAATCTCTTGCCACTAAGGACGTGGTACGTGTCCTCTAACCGGCAGTTTTCGCCGCCAAATGGCATTGCAGGTAAACAGTTATGACCCGGGGCCCTCTGAACCGAGTGTTTTTGCCCCAAATGGCACCACAGATAGCGGTTATGGCCAGACAATACGTCCTTAATGGCGTTAAATCCTTGAGATATGAATTAACAAGATATGATCGATAGGGCAAAAAGCCCTCTGTTAGCTAAGTGGATTCTAATTTGTCCCTTAGACAAACATTCAACCCCGGTCTACAAGGTCCCCTTGGACGAAGCAACCCATGGCTGCCACAAGGATCCTTCTGTCAGGTTGGTGACTATCCTCTGACTAATAGACCAGAGGACCACGATGGCCAGGACGACGGATACCGTGGGATCTTGATCGGGTCCATCATCCATTCCCCCACCATCCGCTTTAAGTGTAAGATGGTGCAATTTTCAATTTTAAATATCAAATCCTCAAATATCTCAACCCAAGTTCCCAAATTTCCAAATTCTCATATCCTAATCCCATTGTTGCTACTATATGCCAGATAACACGTATACTCTGCTTATCTGATCGATGACTAGCCTTAATCGAAAGTTCTCTCTCGTGATCGGGAGGGGTAATTAACTATAGGGGCTTGCGCCTATAGGAAACCAGAACTCAGATCATAAAGTCCTCGCAAAATGAGGGTGAAATATCTGGGTAGTGTCTTATCTACAAACCCATCTGCCTTCCAAAATTTACCCCGGAACTTAGTTCTTTAAAACTACCTCGCCGAATAAAAAAGAAAAGCGGACGGAGGCCGAGGCCGAATTTTCGGAGCCCACAGAAATCAGATTTAATGAAGAGAATAAATCACTCCAACAACAAGGAAAGAGAACAAACATTGGAAGAATGCAACCCTTATCTCGCTCTGATATAGAAAAATAAAAATATAGAAAAGTTATTTTGAATTTTACTGATTGATTTTGTACAAAGTGTGGGATATATACTTCTCTAAAAGTCTTACATGAAAATAAATCAAAGCTATTTATTAAAAAAAAAAAAAACTTCAAGTAGTGTTCTTGGTTGGATGATGAAGAGGCACACAGATTGCAATCTAAGAACCATTAGAGGATCCATTCAACAGTTAGAACCCTTACTTCCTGTAGGAAAGAATCCTTATTAAGATTGATTGATTTGTGAGTCCCACCAATGACTAGTAGTGTGTGAGAGAAGGGCTGAAACTCTATTAAGGTTGTTTGCTACGATGTGGGCCTCACAATCAATCAACGGAATCTCATGCAAGCTCAGCATTCACGAGGCTTGCATGAGACCTTGGGGATTGGTATAATATCCCATACATGGTGATCTCAACTGTGGATTATTTTTTGTTGACTCTTTGGCCGATGAACAAATAATACATAAGTTTGGGCGCATCACCCAACTGAGGCTTCTTTTCTGGTTTGCACCTAAACGAGGTATGATTTTAGCATTCTTTATGGTTTATCAAAAATAATTTTATCCAGCAAAATATGAACCAACAGGATTTAGCATGGCGTCTAGAGATTCCTTTCGAATCCCTCGGAAAATCTTTACAGTGGCTGGCATGCTTGGACATGACTCTTTTTATACTTGCTGGAGGGAGTTCTTGGCAAGTTGATAGAAGAGCCAGGGATAGTGTGGGGAAGAGAGAGAAGATAATTATAAAACTACTTAAATTATAACTATACTAGTAGATTTTAATTGTCCATGTTTAAAAAGAACTGAAATTATGAGGAATAAAATACTAAATTTAATATTTTTATGTTCATTTTAATCTTGAAGGCAAATTACATGGAAGAAATTCCCCTTAAAAGAAATTTTAATGTGTCTAATTTATAACTAAGTGTTAGTCTTTTTTGTAAACATTGTTGGTGCTATATTTTTGCTGGAGTTATATTAGATAAAATCGTCATACTGTAATACAGAAATTTTTCCTGCCCCAAAAATCAATCCATCTGCTCATCAATTGTTAACAATGTGCTTGTACAGAATGCTGATCTTATAAGCTCATTTTTAATATAAAGCAGAGCTACTTCACAAAAATTTAGCTGGAGATAAGCTAAACAAAAGAAAGTTCTAGAATCAATAATAAATCATGTGTCGCAGTTTATTGAATTTGAGCTCATATTTGGCCTTCAAATTTGTTTTAGGAGCCTAACAAGGGAAAAAATATCTGTAAAAAGTAGCCCAATATTCTTGTTTTACGTGTACAAAC